ACAGATATTTTCTTCTTGTTCTTATTTCTGTCCGTCCATAGTTTCTGTCACATTTTTGTGGTTTTTATAAAATGTACAATTTAGCCAACTACCACGAATTGATATTAGCTGATATTAGGCACTTATAAAACATTATTGATAATATTAGAAAATTAAACTGTTTAATTTGTTTTCAGTAAAACAGTATAAAACATTAAAAGAATGCTTGAACTTATACAAAAAAAATATCGTTTCACCATTGGACTATAATGTAAACACTATTTACCATTTCGGTGTTGTCATTAGATAGTCATTACATGGTCATTATACATAGATAATAGATACACAAAGGGTCATTATACGTTAACCAAAGATTAGAGATATATGGTAATTGTATATAATACTTTTAAAATTTTGTTATTTTCTTGTTAACTTTTGTATGCGTTTTAATGTAATTTCGTGTCCTTTTTATTTAATGGTATAGTTAATTTGTTTTTTCTTGTTTTGTTCCACAGATTAACCGGTAATTGAAAGCGTGTTGATGTTTATCCTTATACTGCTACAATATTGACAGTTGGAATGGTGTGCAATGGTGAAGTTCTATTTGCATTACCTTTGTGCAGTTTTGCAGTTTATTACGGTAAGAATGTATACCTTTTTTTAATTATTTCAGACTAAAATTGAAAGGTATTGGTTACTAATGCCTTAGTAATCTATAAAATTTTCACACGATTTTGTTTGTAATAAAATTTGTGTTTCTGAATATTTGGACGTTCTTCCCTAAATAAGTAATATTTGAAAATTGGATAATTTGTTTATAACTTATTGGCCAGTTACTAAAAACTGTAATACGTAATTTTAATATTAGATAAGTATAATTGAATAATCAATACTAACATACTATGTGTCCCCTGGAGAAAATAAAAATACTAAAATTAATAGCAATACTTGTTTGCATGGTTATTCCAAAATGTAGCTTAAAATTCTACTCTTTAATGTAACATATTATGAAACATTGGTTTCTCTTTAGTCCTCAGGAAAAGGTGAAGGTGCCTTTTTTGTATTGGGAACGGATGCAGTGTGTTATTGTTAAAAGAAGGATTTGTGACATGAATTGGTAAGTAACAATTAAAAATAGTAGATGTAGTTCTAAGTCAATTTCTTAGAATTAATGTGGAACTGTCCTTTCTGGCAGTATGAATGTTAGCTTAATATAAGGGATAGAGTATTTATTTTAGTTTTTTTTTTAACAGTGGTATAAACTATATTATATATTTTTTAAGCAGTCATCTTTAAAATATTGTTTAAAAGTGTTTAATTATTTTTTTATCTGTTTCTACAGATTGACTAACAAATAAGAGAGTTTGGGATGTTAATTTTGATCCTAGTGATGACGACATGGTATGTCTGCACTGGTATCCTTTTTCAGTTTGGTTTACTTTCTATACATCTGGACCATGGAATGTTACATTCTACAACTTATTCAGGTAATAATACATATTTCAAAAAACATCCTGGAACATAATGCACAGGAGGACGAGCATGTGTTGCTTCCTTGTATAAATACCGTTAGATTGTCCATTCATTTAGTTGGGGTTGTAAATAATTGCCAACTTCAGTCTACCAAATTTTTTTTAAAAAGGCTTGGTTGGCGTTTATAGCTCCACTACATTTTGCTGATTTTGCCATAAAAATTCATAGAGAACATCGACTTGCACTTCCAGCCCCCAATTTAAAAACGTGTTTATTTCTTGATTGTTAATATTTTTTAAATCCTGGTTTTGAGAGTCGAGTCTTTAATAAGTAAAAGAATTCAGAACTGGTACCGCAACCTGACGTTCAGAATACTTTGCAGTGAAGTAGGTTGCCTATACTAAGGACCAACAGTCGCCAAGGGATTTAAAACAATTTGTATTTTAAATTCAAATTATGATCGCGCGAAATGAGTGCGCTGTTGTCGAGTTAAAGGTAGAAATATTACAGTGCGAGTCGAAATTTGTAAGCAACTAAATTTTTGGATTTAATTAAAATAATCTAAATTTATNATCACTGTAAAGAACTTTTAACTGTCTATACTTGATTATATTTTTACTTACAATGAATACATAATATTGGAGTTAGAAAATAAACATCCCTCAAACGGTGCTCTGAACTGCTAATCCTAACATCAATTGCTGAAATCAAAAAAAATTTCATGTCAACAATACCTTAACCTAAATTTAAAAGGCATAATCCCTTATTAAATACTACAAAAGGTTTAGTTGAGTTTATTTATATTACTATGGTAAATCCAGTTTAATTAATGTTTACCTTTTTGCCCAGAACAGCTTGTAGAAGTTAAATGAGATGCTTCCACTCCTGGTGCTGATGGATGATGTATAGTGTTATTTACTTTTGATCCCAGCAACTTAACCAGTTCGACTAAAAGTGAAATATAGCAGAAAACTAATTTATCTTCACTTCTCAAACAACACTTACTTGGTATGTAACCTACTTGTTCTGTTCTTCTGTTGTAAGCCCAAAGCCATCCTTTTCGCTGCTTTTCATTTTCAATAAACGAAGACTGCACATCAAAAACGTCATCTTTTTGAAATTCTATAGCATTACTTTCATCATCATGAGGAATATAATTCTGGAGAGCTTGATATAATACATAATCTCCCATCGTAATCTAATAAGGCCTTAAGTACTCACACCCCCTTTCGCATCATGTCACGATTATTGCCGTTAACTTAAACATCCTAAGTTGCTTTTCCTGGCGCCACTCAACGTCCAAAAAATCATCTTACTTAAATAATTATAAAACTAGTTATAAAAATATTAATCCGAATTTGGGGGAAGGTAAAGTGCTCCGTCTTAACATTCACCGATTCACTTTAAAATACAATGTTAATGATACAAAAACATAAAATGTTAAACATATTAAAATTTTTTGAAAATTCATGTATTTTAATGTTAATGGCACAATTTATTATTTGAACACTTTCCTAGGGCGCATCAATGGCGTCATTATCGTCGAACGTCAGTTTGTTTTTGTTGAAAACTGTTGTAGTGTATCCGCTACCATGACTGTTCTATTTCATTTTATTTTTCGAAGAATAGTTATAAATTTAGTTTACCTTTTCACATTTATTCTTATCATAAATGATTTCCGCGAGGATTTAAATGACAATTATTAACCGCTTCGAAATTAGTAATGTTTCTGTGGAATGATCGTTTGGTTGCTATTGAATTACTTGTTAAATGTGGTGCTTATGTGGGTCGCTTCTGTGGATAACAGATATAAAGTAGATCATGTATATTTCTTATCTGCGGTCGTCTCCATGGGCCATAACATTAATTTTATTTTATTTTATTGTCAAAAAATTTATACCATAAATTATTAATCTTTGAATCCACATAGAATTTAGAAAAGGGGAAGTATTACACAAAATCTGGATAGCGTAAATGAACCCTATCTCCAACCCGGATGAAGGTTGCTACTTTTAGTCCATTGGCCACAGTTACAACAAATGTAAGCAACAAACTAACTTATGCATTAAAAAGGAAAAAACAAATTATACTAGTTTAAATACATCTATTTTGATTAATTATTCAGTTTCAATTTTTGAATATTATCTACTAATTTTATGTTGAAACATCTTTATTTCTTTACAATGTTAATATAATTCAGTATGTTAATATTAATTGGAATTCAATTTAAAGGATGGTTACATAGTTTTCATTTGTCGTTTAGAAATACTTATTAGAAGCAATCCTGGTACTGTTCATCTAGACACTACATGGCAGTTGTTTTGTAGTCTATGGTCGTTTGATAAATTGAACATCTTAACATTTCAGAATTATATTCTATGATTATATTTTTACCCTTTGTATATCTATTATCTATGGTAATATTATGGTGTTGTTTATAGATTCGTCCTGTTAGATAACCAATGTATGTTAATAATTTTAAATTAAAAAAAAATATATAATTACAAGTGAAGCAGATTAACACCCTCCTGAAGACCAAACACCAAGAAACAATTCGTAACACATAGTATCAGCTAATATGTATGTGTAATCTCTATACTGAAAATATCTTTTAATCAGGAATATTGGTTTGCTTGTCTTCATAGTAACAGAATTAATTTGCCTATAAATATATGGTTTATAGCACTATGTACCATAACAATTCATGTTAAATTTTAATCTGACGATTATTAATTTAATTTTTGAACGTTACTTTGTTATTTTAAGATGATTACAAAACAGAGAAACAATTCGTAGCCTATAAGAGAATTAATTCTCAATTTTTATACTATTTGTGAGTACTTTTTGTTAAATTATATGTTTGACGTTTTGTTGGTTTCCTAATTAAAAATTGTGGTGGTATACCATATTATGTTAGCATTCTGTTATCATATCTTTAATTGAGGTAGTAATTATAATTTATTTGTAGTGGGATGCTGCTTAACACTTTAAATCATTTTTGTCAACAGTCATCATCACAACTACACAGAAGTTAACACCATCAAGAAGACAAAATATGATCCTTTACACAATGCATGTTACATAGATAAATGGTCCACACATACCACAGGTCATTAACAACAGTTGATGTTTATCACTAGGATTGCATGGACATTACAGTTTAAGTGAGTTTTTAAGATTTTTTGTGAATCGTAATATTTTTTGCTTATACAGACAGATATGTAGATAAACTTTTGTGTATATTACATTTCAACTATTAATTTAGACACAGTATTTATTGCAACTAATTTTATTATAAACAGTAGTTAAAGAACGGCTTATTAAAAAAAAAAGCTGTTTATGTGTATTATTGCCATTATAATTCATCACCTCTCCAGAATATACCAGTCCCCTAAAAAACTATTAAAAAGAATATGTTTATTTGGTGTTAACAGAGAAAAGAGTTTGACATTACTTTAATATTGTATTATATACGTTTTATTAGTAGGGAGGCTAAAGTAATTAATATAAATTAATTAATACTCGTTATATTTTATTTTACAAGAACATTAAGTCTTCGGATGCTATGTGTTACAAAACCGTTGGAACTATCGGCCTTCTTTCACTCACAGCAGTATCAGAAGTCCCGAAGAAGCCTGAAGGTGCCTTTTTTGCATTGAAAATGAAAACAGTGTGTTATTGCTAAAGGAAGACTTTCTTACTGGTAAGTAACAGTATCAATTACAAATAGTGCAAAAAAACAGAAATACTAGGAACCTCAATTTCTTAGACATCTGCAGGTAACTTTCAATTGTCAGATTTACTTTAATATAGGTACAGACCATTTATTTTAAATTTTCCTTTGGAAACGGTAATATGAACTATTTATACGTTTACTTTGTCTAATTTGAGAATCGGAAGAAGAAGGATAATGACAAAATATTAAAATTTTAATTTGCTTAATCATGAATGCTACATTATGTATCTATTATTTTAGCGGTCTTCTTTAAAATATTATTGATTAAAAGGAGGTAATTGTTTTTTTTTGTCCATTTCTACAGATTGGTCAACAAATGAGAGAGATTGGGAATTTAATTTGGACTGTAGCGATGACGACTTGCGATGTCTGTATTGGGATCCTTTGTGCGTTTACTTTGTTTTTCACACATGTGAACTACGGAGGGTCACATTCTGCAACTAATTCAGGTAATAATACTTAATAACAGTTAAATTAATATTAATTATACGTTATTAACCTATTGTCAATTTGGACGTACTCGAACATAATGCTTAGGATGACGAGCATATGCTACTTATGTACATAATATCGTCAGATTATTTTATATAGGTCATTTTTGTTGGGGTTGTAGATAATTGCGAACTTCAGTCTACCAAATTTTTTCTAAAAAGGCTTGGTTGATGTTTATAGCTCCACTACATTTTGCTGATTTTGCCACAAAAATTCGTAGAAAACATGTATTTACACTTCCAGCCCCCAATTTAAAAACGTTTTTATTTCTTAATTGTTAATATTTTGTAAACCCTGGTTTTGAAAGCCTTGTCTTTAATGATAAGTGAAAGGAATTCAAAATTGCTACCGCAGCCTGACTCTCAGAATACTTTGCAGTAAATTGGGTTGCCTATTTGAGGACTAGCAGTCGCCAGGGGATTTAAAACAATTTGTATTTTAAATTCAAATTATGATCATACCTTCGCGCGAAATGAGGGCGCTGTTGTCGAGTTAAAGGTAGAAATATTACAGTGCGATTAGAAATTTGTAAGCAACTAAATTTTTGGATTTTAATAAAATAATCTAAATTNCATACTATATTTTCTATATGTAGGGTATTTATTTGAAATTAACAAAGAAAAAGGTGCAGCATTACTTTAACAATGTATCCTGCACATTATTTACTTAATTCTTGATTAATCATATCTCAACACTTTTTCATAAGATTTCATTTAACAGGAACATTAGAAGAACTCCGGATACCATTAAATTATGAAATTTTGGAGCATTGGTTGTATTAGTCCTCTTGCCCTGGAAAGTAGCTGTGCCCATGGTTCTAAAGAAAGCATGAAAGTGCTTTTTTTTTCATTAGAATGAAGACAGTGTGCTGAAAAAAGATTTATGACAATGAACTGGTATGTAACAGTAACAGTTAAAAATAGTAAATGATATCTTTAGATAACTTCAATTTCTTAGACATTTGTAACTTGCTTCAATAGACAACTTTTAAACAACGCGCGAAATGAGTGCGCTGTTGTCGAGTTAAAGGTAGAAATATTACAGTGCGAGTCGAAATTTGTAAGCAACTAAATTTTTGGATTTAATTAAAATAATCTAAATTTATTTGGTACATAAGCAATCTATGAAAGTAATTATGATTTTACGTTACCTGACACTTATTGTAAATGAAGTTTTATCAGTTACTATTGTATATTTCTGTGATGTGATCATTTTTACCTTGTGTCCTGTACATTGCAATTTTTTATAGGTTTTCTGATAGTCAAAGATGATTATAGTTAAATATGCGGACAAAAAACTGTTAGTTTTACTTGGGAAGATTGTGATGAAAGTATAAAAATGTAATAAAGCAATAATAGTCAAGAAGATAGATGCTTGTTAATCAAAAATAGCGATTGATAAAGAATAAAAGTAATGTACTTCCTTTTTTTAGTAAGCATAAAGTAACAACAATAAGAACAAAGTAATGAATTTTTAATTTTCTATCCAAAGGTTAAGTAATTTGTTAACAGTTACTTCTATCGTAGGCATTGGAAGTCTTCAAAAAGTATTGTATTTTTAAAAAATTCGTGTTTTTAAATTACGTGCTAATGAAAATAAACGAAGTTTTTGTTATATAATTCTTTAAAGAAAATAATATGCAAATGAAAATGAAAATTTCCCACTCTTATGCCAATGGAAGGTGCTTATCAATTTTTCCACAAGGCGTTTATAACTAAAACTTCTTACGTTCCTGTAGGTATTTAGGTATTTAAAGAAAACCAAAAGATAACATAGTACATAAAAGTACAAACTAATTGCAAATTTTAGCTGGTTACCTATCCATTTAGAAATGCTCCAACTTTTTTATAACTAAAATCCACAGATCAGATAAATTCGAGTGTAAATTAATTTATTTATCCTGTGGTCTAACGTTATTTATCGTATTTCCTACATGAAGGCCATTAATAATTTGGGAACAGGAAATTTAAACCACAGAAATCGTTTATTAATAGGCTAAATAAACTTTANTGAAGAAACAATCGCGACGCGTAAGTGCGGTAACTTGAAAGAAAATTTCCCTTTAAAAGGAACGTACATTGTGGAAATAGACATCAACTGTGTAATAATGCTAAAGAACATCGAACTAAAAAGTGATAATCATCCAAAGTTAGTGTTTAAAAATATTGAACTGCCAAAATTAAATTTTGTGTTTAAAAATGATAATGACTTCTCCGTCAATTTCGAATTATTTACACTCAAACCTGTTGGTCTAAATAATATTAGAGAAATACAAAATGCATTGAGTTTACAAGAGAAGAATATAAAAGAATTAAATGTGCCAAATATAAGCATTCATAAGGCCAGTGTTTGGACAATCACCCTGTATATCATCATAGTGCTACTGTTACTGTTCTATGTGTTTAAAAAAGCTTCGCTAGCAAAACTAAAGAAGATAAAGGAAAAAGAGAATGAAACAATTATAGTCTAAATCTAAATTCGCAAGCTCTCATGGACCTTGGCTCATATCTACGTCGGGAGGAGTTATATTCACCTATATTTCACACGCTAAGCATTGAGTATTATATTACTCGTATGTTCTATGTATTGCATTAAATCTAATGCCTCATCATTTTTTTTATATATGTATTATGTATTTTCATTTTTTATGTGTAGAGAAAAGAAAGAATAGTTTTTAGAGTAAGTTACTTTTCATCCTTCTAATAAGGAAGTCGATTGTAATTTCTAGTTTTTAATAAACGTTTTTAAAAACAAAGTTTCAAATTCCCGAAACTTAATTAGCACAGAAATAAAATATGTTAACTCGCTAAAAGTGATTAATTTGTAACCACAGTAAAATACGTTATTTTATGTACTTATTAATCAATCAAGTTACGGGTCAAGCCCTAATAAAACATAAAAAATAGAGAAATAAAAGTAATGTATAGATATTAATCACAAACAGTTTAATCAATTATCAGAAAGATGCGTATAGTTAAAAATGCTGACATAAAAGTGTTAGTTTTATTTGACAGAATTGTGATGAGCGTATAAAAATGCAATAGAGTAATAATAGTAACGGAGATAGATGCTTATTTATCAAAAATAGAAATTGATTAAGAAGTAATGTACCCCCTTTTTTTGGTAGCATATAGTAACAACGTAATGAATTTTTAATCTACTGTCCAAACATTAAGAAATTTGTAACAGTTGTTTATTTCGTAGGCATGTTAGTTAGTTACCTAATAACTTATAAAAGCTTAAAATTCTGAATAATTAATATACATCAAGGTCATTAATAATTCGGACATAGGAGAATTAAACCACAGAAACTGTTTGTTAATATTACTATATATAATTACTAGAAAAACTTTAATTGCGTGCAATTTTTTTAAAAATAACAATAAGGTAGTTCTAAAATGTTATACTGCAATTAGCTAGTTTATATTACAGATTTTGATT